CTTCAAAACTAAGGCATTCAGCGTCCTTTTTCTACTTATCAGCAGCTTCAGAGGCACGATGTTGAGCCTCTGATTCGAAACGCTCAAAAAGGAACCTCTCGGATCTGAACCTCTCGGATTCAATAGAGGTATTGTATATCCCTCTCTTGCCTAGCATAACGCTCAACTCTATAGTATAGAACGAATCTCCAGCATCGCTCTTCGACGGAGTCTCCTGGATCTCCTTCTCGATCTCCTCTGGCTCAGCCTCATCCTGCGCGTTTTCTTCGTCTAGAAATTCGAGCTCTGAGGAGGGTAGAGCAGTTGATACATCCTCTTGATGGCGCAGAGAGATAGGCTGCGTTGATATAGCTCTTTTACGCCCTGCTAGCCCTGCTGGCCCTGCTGGCCCTGGAGAACCCTTTTCGGAGGATCTCTTAGAGCCCTGAGATACTACAGACTCCTCTCTAACCCTCAAAATCACCTTCTGCGCCCCTGTTGACTGTGCAGAGGCTGGCGGGGTATCTCTATCTGCGTCATCAAGGCGCCGTGGGGCTCTCCCTGCGTTTGAACGCTTCTCGCGATTCAACACCATGGTTTTCTATCTCGAAATTTCGGCAACAAGGTCACAAGAGAGTCAATTTTACTATCTGGGCAATTTTGGGCATTCTACTACGTTAATTAGGTGGTAAATGGCCATCCTCTGCCCTCACCGCAATTCTGCCCCGCGGCGCCAGCAATTCGAGGGTCCCGCCAAGGAATTGCAACACTTTCGCAATGCACAATAATTTTACAGTTCCTAATTGATAAGACGGAGGACAACCATGATTGCCCTTAGCATCACCTGGAGCATCCGTAGGCATATTTAGTAGCTTGAATTTATGATTGCATGCTCTGCTTGGGCAAATACTATTAACACCATCACCTTTCATGTTGATGTTGATTGCTGTGACACTTCCATGTAGCTGTACGGAGTAGATGCGTCGCACAATTCTTACTGCCATCTACGACTGTCGAACCAATAAGAACAAGAAGCCAAAACACGTTGTCTTGTCGAGAGTGGCCATGCCAGTGGGGAGTGCTAGAACTGAGTTCTCATTCGCACTTTGGTTTGAAGTCTGGCAAAATGCAACTTCCATTGAACATATCAATTCATTTCATCCATGTAACAACATAAGCCGTCCTACTATTTTCCGACAAGTAGAGCTGTCCAACGTGCAGAGCGCTAATACCCTTTCTTTCAACAATCTTCAACCCACAGCATTGATGTCACGATTTCGATAGTAACCTCTATGTTTCTATCAATGTCACTTCTAACGAACTTGATATCAGCATCCAGCAGACTGCCGGCACGGGGCAGATATACTTCGTTGTTCCGGTAGGATCATGGAAGATTGAGCAGGCACAGCCTTCTGTCGAACAGTGCAGTTCAGACTGAAAATGATACGGTGTTGCTGCTGTTCTTCGCAACTATCAGATACGTGTAATAGGGTTCTCTCGCGAGCCATCCCCGAAACGTAAACGGCACATCAGAACGCGCAGAACGCAAGGAGACTACAAGCAAAACTGGCCAATAAGGCCGTCACAGCTCTGCAGCCCCAAGTAAGTATTTGAGTTTTCCTGGACTTACGTCAGATGTATACCAATCGTGTTGGGACAAAAGGACCGCGGCCCTCGGAGGACCGTGAACTAGCTTTTGTCTGACACGTCGATATACATATTGATGATGAGATCCAGCGATGACAAACAGCCAAAAACAATGGTACTAGGGGGTCTGTTCCGAGGGTTCCGCTGTCAGACACGATCGGTACCGATGATCGCCCTGTAGAGCTATAAGGAAGTGGTTGCACACTCTACATGAACTGGTAAGATGTTGATGCCACCCTTACCGATGGTGCTGCCAGCACCACACTGAGATATCAAGAGTCTCGGTCATGAATGTGTGTTGATCGGTGTCAGTGTGATGGAAGGTGTGCTCAACTGTTGCCCTTTCCAGCGACTCTTGTTGCTTCGTTCAATGCACCAGATTATAGAGAACGTCATGATAACTCGAGCTCTAGTCTCCGAGTATAAGTTCTATGAAGTTGATGTGGTTTCGGTCAAGATACTCAATTTTTGGTGTCCAGATTTGCTGCTTTATAGAAGATGATTCTCTCATCAAACACCAAGACGCTTACGGGTGTCATCGCTGTTTTTGTCTTATCATGTACCTCTCTGGTTGTTGGTCAAAGTGTGTCAGGCAACGACGCGATAGCCGATTCCCACGGCCTCACTTACGTTTATGAGGAATTTACTGTGAGTCCGCTATCTGAATGTCTAATCCTCTGCAAACTCCTTTCATTACCGTCAGCTGGGATATTGGGATTCGATAAAGTACAGCAGAAGACGGATGTAACTTGACGCCGTCAGAAACACAACCGCAGTTGTCTTGAGCTAACGGCGACAATTGTTACGCAACAGGCTATCACGAACAGTCTCTCAACCCAATCTTACAACAACAACAACACGGATGCCCAGTCCCTGGTTGACCAATACGTCAACATAACCAACATCCAACTTGAAGGATTGGGCACGTCTAACCTACAGGTCCAACTTGAGGATGCGACGCAGTATGGTGTTGCAGAGGCTGTTCATGTAGTGAGTCTTCATTGTCATTTCTTGCTTTACTCTTTTCCCACCGTCGTTATGGTGAGCCTCTATTCGTTGAATGGCAAAATTCCATGACCCGACCAGGATTTTAGCTTATGTGCGTCATTGCTAATGCCGCCTCATCGCAGCTCGTTCTAGAAATCCGCCGGTTCTTCTTCTCCCTCATCTCGCAAAAGAACTCCTTCACCAGGGACCAACGAGTGGTGCTGTCTGACACAGTGCTGGCGCAAAATCTTATCGTCGATGTGAGTCTCTCCATGATCCCCTACTACCGAGTACAGCAAGACTATGCGACTGACAGGAATAACAGGATTTCCTCCAGCGGGCTCCTGCGTACCTTGGGAAAGTCCTGGAAATTCTGGAAAGGGACTTAGCGGTCATACGGCAAAGCTACGCAAGTACATCTAATGAGTTGCTAGCTGTGGAAGCACGTCGGGCTAGATAATGGCGTCAAAGGAGATTTGTGGATTATTCTGAGGTCGACGAAGGACAAAAGGTGAGGGATCGGGCAATCTTGTGTTGGTTCATGCTGTGCAGATAAATATACATCCGCTCCGTCAAGAGCCTAAAAAGTGTTCAGTTTATGAAGTATTTACTTGTCTACTTCTTCATACTCGGCATAATAGAATAACCTGCTTTGTTGCTCGTGACACCGCTACCGTACCGCAAGTACGTAGTACGGAATATAAGCAATCCCAATCCCAATCCCGGATCCCAGCCTAGCTGCTAAATTCGTCATACAAAATCCTGGTTGCAGATCTCTTAAATATCCCTGACCTTCGTTCCCGCACGTGAATCCGACAAGATATCCCAGAGATCTCCAGCAACTGCAAGCTGCCGTAATATCTGTGTGGGAGCCACCAACCTCGATTCGCGAGAGAGAGGGTCAAAGAGACCGACATGATCAGGCGAACACGATGCCCACAAAGACCGCTCCGAACCCCGTAGAGAAAACCTACGCTCTTCCACCACCCCACCTCTCGTCGAAAACACTCCACATCGCCGGCATCCTGACCACAGTCTTCGGGCTCGATGAACTCGCTCCGAACACAAGGGAGACAGCATGTCTCTGGCTCCTGCATCCACGCCTACAGACACAAGCATGCATGCAGCCGTTTGCGGCATGCACAATTGCGGATTGGAACGAGCGCATACGCGAAGGTCGGGCTGGGTCGTCGCAACCGGCCAAGGGGCTGATAGCCGTGTCGTTCGACCAGAGGAACCATGGGACCAGAGAGGTGGACGGGCTTGCGAACGAGGCGTGGAGGGCGGGGAACCCGAGACATGCGCTGGATATGTTCTCGCAGATACACGGCACGGCGGCGGATACTTCAATTCTCCTCGACTACCTGGCAGCATATATTTTTCCTGAGAGGGACGGGGTAAAGGTTAGTCAGAATATGGTGTTCGGCGTTTCACTGGGTGGTCATGCAGCCTGGCAGGTGCTTCTCCGGGAACCGCGCATGACTACTGGCATCATTGGCATTGGCTGCCCGGATTACAAGAGTTTGATGATGGATCGTGCACGGCTGTCTAAGCTGGCAGACTGGGATTCGAGTGACCCTTCTAGCTTTTTGGGCAGCAAGAGCTTCCCACGAACGCTGGTGGCAGCAGTAGACAAGCATGACCCTGCTGGGCTAATCATGGGCCAGCTGGAGCGTACCATCAATGATAGCTATGTGCATGAGCTGTCAGAAAATGAGGAAGAAAAGGTTTCGAGAGTGCTCGATCACACGCTACGCAATAAGCGGATATTGCTCCTGTCTGGCGCAGCTGATAAATTAGTGCCTTACAGATGTGGTCAGTCGTTTCTCAACTTTCTCAAAAGAGCCATAAGTACGTATTATAAGCACGGAGGGCTAGTGTTGGAAGACCTTGTCTTTGACGGCGTGGGCCATGAAATCTCACCCAATATGTTAAAGGAGTTGATTCGATTTGTGGACGAGTCGTTGGGAGCGCATGTCCAAGACTCAGGATCGATATCCGGAGAGCTTAGAACAAGTAGCAAAATCTGAGGACAAAGGCCAGCAGCATGATGCGCAGGAGCACTAGCACAAGGACGCGATAGAAATTGGAACCGGAGATGTCGTAGACTGCCAGTCCTTCCTCAAGATGCAGCTGGTTCATAGCATGTAACCATGTTCGCGGCTATACTGAACATCGCGAATGCTGACCTGCTCGATGATATCTTGTAGAATGCCTTCTGATTGACTGCTCATGCCACCAGCTCACAAACCCCACCGGCTTCCTTGATCTTCCGCTCTGCCTCCTTGCTGAAATACCTCGCCCTCACCACCACCGGAATTTTTGGTAATCTGCCCTTGCCCAACACTTTTGAATAACCCAGCGGTAATAGATCGAGCACGGGTGCAGTATCGGTTTTGTTCTCCTCGAGGTAGGCATCGCGAGTCTCGGTAGGTACAAGTGACCACAACTGTAAAAAGTGTACATTAGTATCGCGTCTCTACCATGCGTCGCCCAGCAGGAATACC